GCACCGGCTCGTCTTCCAGAGATCCTGAGTTCAATTCCCAGCAACCACATAGTGGCTTACAACCATCTGTAATGAGATCTGGTACACTGTATGCATAATAAATAAGTCTTTAAAAAAAAAAAAAGAGCTGGGCGGTGGTGGCGCACGCCTTTAATCCCAGCACTCGGGAGGCAGAGGCAGGCAGATCTCTGTGAGTTCGAGGCTGGGCTGGACCGACAGCCTCCAAAACAATACAGAGAAACCCTGTCTTGTAAAAACCAAAAAAAAAAAAAAAAGAATGCTGACGTCCACATGCACACATGGCATGCATGCCCATACATTCACATCATACATACACAATAAAAATAATAAAATAAATAGTAAATACAGAAGAGCCTGGTGTGGTGATTACTCTTGTAATCCCAGTGTTTGGGAGGTTGGGACAGGAGGATTTGGAGTTTGAAGCTAGCCTTGGCTACACAGCAAATTTGAGGACAGTCTAAACTATATGAGAGCCTGTTGAGGCCCGGCCTCAGAATACTGAAAAGGGTGGCTGGAGAGACATCTCAACTGTCAGGCAGTGCACAGCTGCCCAGAGCTCCAGCTCTAAGGAATCAGATACTTCAGATACACGAGCACTTAAAAATAATTCTTAAGAAATGGGTGTGGGGTTTGATCCCTGAGTGTCCTGACTGTCCCGCAGGCCGGGCCAAGCAGAAGGGAGAGGAGTTACTGAAGGCCTCCGTCTCCCCGTACCATCTGTTCAGAGACATGGCCGATGTCGAGACTTTCCGAAGGAACTTGCTCAGCTGGTATGACCAAGAGAAGCGGGACCTACCTTGGAGAAGATGGGTAAGTGGGACAGGGACAGTGGGGTGGGAAGCTGGCTCTTAGCCCTTTTGATATTAAGTCTGCACCTGTGGTTTCGTTGACAGGTAAAGGAGGAGGCTGACTTGGACAGGCGGGCCTATGCTGGTCAGTACAAAACTGGGCTGCTTTGCCTGTAGGTCCTTGGGTTTAGGGTTATGCTTAGGTTTGGGGGGCTAGGGGCTAGGAGCCGGGGTGAGTTATCAGTACCTCATGTTAACCCCCTCCCCAGTATGGGTGTCAGAGGTTATGCTGCAGCAGACCCAAGTTGCCACAGTGATCGACTATTATAACCGATGGATGCAGGTGATGCCAGGGAGGGAGGGGAAATTTGGCTAGACCCCGGAAAAGGATTCCTCCACCCCCGCCGTCCTTGACCTTATTTCTTCTTACTTGTCTTGGAACTACAGAAGTGGCCAACGCTTCAGGACCTGGCCAGTGCTTCCCTGGAGGTGAGCCACCCTTGGGTAGGGAGAACAGAAACAACTGAGGGACCGGCCACTGATCTTTGAACTCTCACCTCCACCTGCAGGAGGTGAATCAGCTCTGGTCTGGCCTCGGCTACTATTCTCGAGGCCGTCGGCTGCAGGAGGGAGCTAGGAAGGTAAAATGGGTGGTGCACCGAAGAGTTGGAGGCCGGTGACCTGCGGTGTCTTAAGACTGTGAGCCCTTCTACTCCCATCAGGTGGTAGAGGAGCTAGGAGGTCGTATGCCACGTACAGCAGAGACCCTACAGCAGCTCCTGCCTGGCGTGGGGCAGTACACAGCTGCAGCCATTGCTTCCATTGCCTTTGACCAGGTTAGCCCATGTGTCACCTGTATTTAACGTGTACACCTCCCCTTCCTCCATGTCCAGTCTGACTCCCGGGCTCCTCTGTGCCAGGTAACCGGTGTGGTGGATGGCAATGTTTTACGGGTGCTGTGCCGTGTCCGTGCCATTGGTGCCGATCCCAGCAGCTCCTCTGTCTCCCATCACCTCTGGTAAGATATTGGGATGATGGGAAGTTGGGGAGGGTTTCTTCATAGGGTTTTTGCTTGTAGTAGTATTTCTTACTCTTAGGAGCCTAGCCCATCAGCTAGTGGATCCAGCCCGGCCTGGGGACTTCAATCAAGCAGCCATGGAGCTGGGGGCCACAGTGTGCGCCCCGCAGCACCCTCTCTGTGGCCAGTGTCCTGTGCAGAGCCTATGCCAGGCGTACCAGAGGGTGAGCCTCCTGAGGAAGAGTTGGGGTGCCCTAGCGAATGACCCTTGCCCTATGACACCCTCCTGTATGTCTCTCAGATGGAGTGCGAACAACTCTCAGCCTTGCCGGGCAGTCCTGACATAGAGGAGTGTGGTAAGCGCCAGCCCTGGTCCCAGCCTGCCCCTCCTGCCCCTATCAGGGAGTCACCCTTTCAAGCCTGAGAAGATGCTGCACTGGGACTAAGCCTCCCGCTGGGCTTGGCACGGAAGGCTGCTTGCCGAAGCACAATTTTGGATCTTTGTTTCCAGCTCTCAAGGCTGGACAGTGCCAGCTTTGCCTACCTCCCACAAAACCTTGGGACCCCACTCTGGGAGTGGCCAACTTTCCTCGAAAGGCCAGCCGCAAGCCTCCCAGGGAGGAGTACTCTGCCACTTGTATTCTGGAGCAGCCCAGAGCCACTGGGAGTCCCCTCATCCTGCTGGTGCAAAGGCCTAAGTCAGGTACCTGAATATGGGATTAGAGGGCAGTGTCACAAGCAACAGAGGAATAGGGGGGGCAGAAGACGCTGACCCCGTGTCTGGCTGCCCTCAGGTCTGCTGGCAGGACTGTGGGAGTTTCCGTCTGTTGCCGTGGGGCCCTCAGAACAGCAGCAGCACAAAGCCCTCCTGCAGGAACTGCAGAGCTGGTCTGGACTCCACCCAGCCACTCGTCCCCAGCACCTGGGGGAGGTAGGTGAGCAGAGGTGCCAGGAATCCAAGAATGGACGCTTTTGTGTTCACATTCACAGACCTGGTTCCATCTCTTCCCCCCCAGGTGACCCACGTCTTCTCTCACATTAAACTGACGTATCAAGTATATAGTTTGGTCCTAGAAGAACAGACCCCAGTGACCCCTGCACCTCCTGGCGCTCGATGGTTGACTTGGGAAGAATTCCACACTGCAGCTGTCTCTACTGCTGTGAAAAAGGCACCACCTTTGTTATCTTTTCTTGTTTGTCACCTGCATGTTTTACATGAACTCATTGCTGTATACATGAGAAAGAGATGTATATTTTAAACAAGATTGCTGGGGCTGACCATAGGCTGGGGTGGCACCCGGGGTATTGGTTCTTTTCGGGGAGGTGCCAGCCCTGTTTTGTTTCCTCCCAACTCCACCTTGGCCAGGTATTCCGCATGTATGAGGACCATCGGCGAGGGACCGGCAAGGTGAGCCTCAGAAGCTAATCCTGCCATCTTTCCCCAGGCCTGCCTCTGGTGGTTTTTAAGTCACTTAGTGACATTTTGGGATGAACGTTATCCATTCCATTGCTGGAGGCAGAAGGACAGTTTATGAACTAGGGAATGATTGTACAATGAGAACTGGGGGGGATGGGCAAGATCAAATTGGTGCGGGCTCTGGTGTCACAGGTAGGTGAAGTATCTGTGCCGGGTTTTGTGGGATATGTGATAGGGAGCCATTTCTGAGACAAGGATCAGGAAAAGCTGCTTAATGAGAATAACTACTCATTTGAGTCCTAGAAAAAGATTTATCTTTACTATTTTTAATTATGCGTATGTGTCAGTGTGTATATGTACATTGAGTGTAGTGCCCATAGAGGCCAGGAAGAGGGCATTGGCTTCCCTGGATTTGATGTTATAGGTACTTGCTTATGAACCATGTAACATATGTACTTGGCCTCCAACTCAGGTCCACTGCAACAGCAGCACACACACACACACACACACATACATACACACACATACATACACACACACACACACACGTTTTTTGTTTTTTGGGGTTTTTTTTTTTTTCTGTTTTTGGTTTTTCGAGACAGGGTTTCTGTGTGTAACAGTCGTGACTGTCCTGGAACTCACTTTGTACACCAGGCTGACCTCGAACACAGACATCTGCCTTCTGCCTGCCTCTGCCTCCTAAGTACTGGGATTAAAGGCGTGGTCTCCATCCCCTGGCTGCCACATACACTTTTAACCACTGAGCCATCCCCTACTCCTCACCCACACTGTGTGGCTGAAGATGATGTCCTTGAACTTCTGATCCCCCCCCCGTCATGATGGGATTATAGGCATGTGCCTATCATACCCAGTTCTATGTAACACTAGGATTCAAACGTAGGACTTTGTGTGTGTTAGGCAAGCCCTTTGTCAACTGAGCTATGTCCACGGCTGCAGCTTTGCATTTTAGCAAGATTTTTAGGCATCTTTTAGAGAGTTGACTGAAGGGATTGATACTTGAAGGCAGGTGGAAAATTCCACAGCATTAGACTAGATTAGTAGAGCAGGCAGAAGATTCCCTGATGTGTACTCATTACCTCCCATCTTTTGATTTTGCACAGGGTTCTAAAAGGTCCCGGGTGTCTACTCCATCAAGCCGGAAAAAACCCAGCAGGGGCCAGCAAATCCTGGATAGTTTCTTTAAGCCTCTTATTTCCACAGATACACCCAACAGTATGACCCAGTGACACCCCTGTGAAGCCTACCTCAAATCCAGTCTAATAAAATGCTTCTTATTTTTGTAGTCCTTTTGGAGAACATCCCACACTTCTTCTAGCCCCTTTACTTGTGAGAGGCTAAGAAAATGGTAAAGTCGGCTTGGTTCTGACTTGCTCTGGCTGAGCTCCCAGGCAGCCCTGGAGGCTGGACACATTCTGACTTGAGTATTCGTCCCCAGTAAAGAGTTAGGGCAGCTGCAGGGAGCACCTGTCAGTGGCTGGCATCCAATGCTCCTCCCACTCTGGGTCTCAGGTAAGCTCTGATTGGAGCTGGAGCATCATCTTAGAGCAGGTGGTTGGGCTAACCCTGCAGCTGTGGCTCCCTAGGGAGATCAACACAGTGGAGGGTTTGTATTGAATTCCTTTTTATTCAGGGTACATTTCACAAGCAATAAGACTTCAGAAAGCACAAGGGTTAATAATCACAAGACCTGAAGGGTTGGTGGGAAGGAAACAGAAAACACAAATACTCCAGGGTGTTGGTTGTGTCTTATAATCTCATTCCTTTATTCTTTCTTTATATATCCTAAATGTGTTGTTTTGGATTTTAACAAGAGGCTCTAGAATTGGCAGGTACTGGTTAGAATGAAGACCTGCACCTGGTCCCGAGGGCACGGATGGCCTTTATCTGGGGTGTGATCCTGTGGAGGTGTGGTGCTCTGAGGTGTGTCACCCCCAGAACCCAGGACTAGCGGCAACACCCACACCTAGCCAGAGTCAGGCTCCCTGGGCCCTGGCAGCTTCCTCTTGCACCGACTGCCATAGTGCCCGAATGTTGTTCTGGCCAAAGCCTGTGGCCCCCAGTCTCTGAATCAGCTCCAGAAAGAAGGTGTCCTCAGTGAAGAGGGACTTGGTGAAGACCTGAAGCAAAAACGCGTCTTTATTGCCATCTAGCAGAATTCCCTGCCGTTCTAGAAGGCGGGGCTTGTGACCTGCAGTTATGATTTGTTCCTCTTTGCCTGGCTGCTGGTAGTAGGCTTCAGGGGGGGTCAGGAACCGGCCTCCCGCCTTCATCATCCCTTCAGAAGCTTCCATGATGTTGGGAGTGTACAGTCCTACGTGCTGCAGGCCTGGCCCCCTGTGCCGGGCTAGAAATTGCTCTACCTGGTCCTGTTTGTTGGTGGGTCCTGGCAGGGACTCTGCCAGAACAAGGGTGGGGACGGTGCTGTCAGTCGGGATTTGCAGGGCAGTAAGCCTTAGTCCCCCTCGCCCAGGCCCTGCAGTCACCTTGAGGCCCAGCTCCGGATCCTCACCTGGGCTCAGCGGCAAGTGACAAAACCCAAGGCAGTCGTGAAACCAGCGCCTAAGTGTAGGGGAGCTGCCAGAGGTGCAGGCCAAGGTCAAGTGGTCCACGTGGCTGACCCAGCGAGGGCCAGGTGTGCAAGGCAGCAGTTTGAATCCGGGCAGGAAGGATCCGCGATAGCCCGCACGCTGCAGCAAAGTAAAACTAAGATTACCAGCCGGAGAGCTGACCACTGTGTAGATGGCTGTGCCCTGTGCATCCTTCACGCTAGTGGGTGGTACCGGCACGGCGCAGCCCAGTGCCGCCAGCGCCCGTGCGGCGCCGTCCACATCCTCCACATCGAAGCACAGGTTCGTGGCGCTGGGCACCGAGTGGTGCGGATCCAGGCCGTACAGTGGCTCCCCCGGGCCCGAGCCCTCGTTCACTAGAAAGACTGCATCTCCGCTGCGCAGGGCCAACTGTTTCCACCCGCCTGTTTCCCGTACCGCCAGGGGCTGGAAGCCGAAGAGGCGGTGTAGGTCCTTTGCTAGGGGCTGCCCAGCTGGCACATGGAAAGCTACATGGCACAGACGGCGGGCGGGCGCAGCCATGGCGATCCCAATGGCCTGTCACCAGTCCCTGTCCTTCTGGGACCGCTCACTTGTTTAAAACTCCAAAATTCTTGGTCCAAGACTAGTTGTTGGAAGCCGGTGGAGTCCAGGTCTGCCTGGAGAGAGCGTTCTTTGGTCTTTTCTGGGCAGAGGTCACAGTCAGACGTCGGGGGAATGATCCTCTCTGCAGCGCAACCTCGATCACAAGCCGGCTGAGGACCACAGACAGGCTCTGGGGGTAAATTGTATGAGAACCACGTGGACGCTGAGGGGAGCGGACCCGGAGATGGGGTGGAGCCTGAGACTCCGCCTTTGACACGCCCTCTCGCCCAGAACCGTCTCCTTGAGTACAGTCGAGACGAAGGGCAGTTCCTTCCCAGGGCCTTGGACCAGATCACACCCTTGGCACTGAGCCACCCCTTCTGGGCCCGGGAAGTCACAATAGCCACCTTTACTCGGTGCCAGGCGCACTCTTCTTGAGACCTCAGAGCTAAATTCTCCCCAAGTGGGGGAGGAGCCCGAATCGTCCCTCCACAAGCACAGGATTTCTTAGTCTGGTGCCTTTTCTCTAGGACTCAGGAGTTTATGTTGAAGTCCTAGTGCTCCATTCATGTTTTACTTTATTTTCTCAATATTAAAATATGTTCAGTTACAGATTTTCTTTTTTTATTATTTATTTTTAAATTTAATTAGAAACAAGGTTGCTTCACAAGTCAGTTCCAGGTCCCTCTCCGTTTCCCTCCCCTCCTCCCGCGCAGTTACAGATTTTCAATCCCCAAAACGGGGCGGAGAAACAGAAGAGAAAGCATTTACATATCTTTCCAATCATCTGGGCAATCTCAACTTTATCTGCCTCTTCAAATCTACTTCCACATCTAATCGAGACCTGGAGGGAGAAAAATAATCCTAAGACGCTGTTGCATTTTGGTTGTTGTTCCTGTAAGGAACTACTGTTTGTCACCTTAATAGGACTCCAAGTACTACTCAGGCCTTCCTTACTCTAAAGATATCAGCCAGGAGGCCCAAGATGAGTGAAATCACTAGGATGAGGAAACCGGAAGTCTTGTGGGATTTCAGCTGGAAGGTCCTTGAATTAAGGTTAGAGAATGACATTGAAAGGACAAAATGCATGGGGGAAACCTTAAGAGAAGACGCAAGGCAAGCCGGGCGTTGGTGATGTACGCCTTTAATCCCAGCACTCGGGAGGCAGAGGCAGGCGGATCTCTGTGAGTTCGAGGCCAGCCTGGTCTACAGAGCGAGTTCCAGGACAGCCTCCAAAGCCACAGAGAAACCCTGTCTCGAAAAACCAAAAAAAAAAAAAAAAGAGAAGACGCAAGGCAAATTCAAAGTGATTGTGCTGAAAAGACATTTGGGAGGGACACCGTGCCCCACGGTGCAGCCAGAAACTCCTTTGTCAGGGAGTGAGAAGGCTGGCGGCCATAGGGGACCAGATTTAGACTAGCAGGCTCCGCTGGGTACTCAGAATTGCAAGCAGGATGGGAGAGCAGGGCCTCTTTTGCTGACCAGTGGTCAGGAGAACGTGGATTCCAGAGCTAAGCAGACCTGGGTTACTTTGCATGCATGACTTTGGTCATGTTGCTCAATTTCTTGGAGTTTCCTTATCCGCAAAAATGGGATCCTCCCCCCCCCCCCCCCAATGCCGGTGGTGGTGATCAAAACCCATGTTCTCATACATATTAGGCAAGCATGCTATTTAATTACACCCCACCTTTAACCCAGATTGCTGTGGTTAAACGAGACAGTGTTCAATCAGTAGTGGCTGTTGCTGTACCTATTGTTCTATTCTCATTACACAGTGTCAATGGTACCTCCCAGAGGGTATTGTCTGACCTGTTTGGGGAGATGGGGATGGGCAGAGACTGTACTGGCTTGGGGCAAAGGCTGGGCAGTCCAATCAAGGAACAGCTCTGATAATGGCCCAGAACAAGCCGTGACTCCCTTCAGGGAGTCTTGTAGCATTAATTCCTGACTTTTTTTTTCCCTGATGCCACAGATTGAACTCAGGGCCTTGTGAATGCTAGGCAAATACTCATTGAGCTACATCCTACACCCCCCATCCTCCATCCTTCCTTCTCTCACATCCCCTTGGACCTCAGCTTCATCCCTCTAAGATTTCTAAGCCTGAAGCCCTGTGGAAAGTGTCAGGACTGCCTTAGGAAAAGGTGTGTCCTAGTTACAGTCCAGCCTTTATTTTTTGTTGCATGACCTTGATTAATGCTAGTCTTCCCACCTTAAACCTGTATAATCCCAGCTCACTTTCCCCCAAATACTTCATACTGAGCAGGATGATAGAGGCCAGTCTCACACCGAAACCTTAAATGACTGCAGATAAATGAAAGATTTAGACAGTGGAACCCTAGAGGTCTCACCTGTCCTCCCACCAAAAAGAAAATGTCCCTATTACCAGACCCTGGATTGTGCTGATTTTCTCAGACATGTGCAGCTGAGGAATTGCAACCTATGGAGAGGCCTAGGTCTAACCCCTGAACCTGGGTCTGATTGTGTAGGGCCTGGACTGAGGTGGCTTTGACCCAGCTATGAGTGGGTGTAGGTCAGACTATACAACCAAGACAAGAGGGTCACCGTGTAGCCTCAAAGGCAATGCATATTAGGGCCACTCCTAGAGCACTTAGGAAGGCCCTTCTTTTAGGGGAGTCTGAGAAAGGAGGACTGGAAATACGGTTCTCTGCGAATGCTACAGCAAAAACAGGCTTCCCTGAGTTTTTTTTTTTTTTTTTTTTTTTTGTGTTTTTTCGAGACAGGGTTTCTCTGTGGCTTTGGAGGCTGTCCTCGAACTCACAGAGACCCGCCTGCCTCTGCCTCCCGAGTGCTGGTATTAAAGGCATGCGCCACCACGGCCCGGCTTCCCTGAGTTTTTATAGTCAGGGTTTCATAATCTATAACCCTCTAGGCCTTTGACCCAGCCCCAGAAGTTTGCTCTCAAGTGCCCCAAGTACAACAAACTGGGTATAAATAAGACCACTGGCCCTTCACGCCCCTCTTGCTCAGGAAGGGAGAGGCAGGGTTTATGGAAACTAAGTGGTATGCATAGTGTTTTAGCTGGAGTGTGGTGTCCTGGAAAAGCGCCATACTTGGCACAGGTAACAAACACACTGGGTTTTCAAGGAGGGGTGAAGGGGGCTGCAGGTGTTGGTTCCCTGTGGCGTCCAGAACATTACCCTCTTGGAGTTCCAGGGAACCTTCACAAGCCGGCTTCTCAGCATGACGACTGCCCTCCTGCTGGGGCTACCCGTGCTGGGGCCACAGGACAGAAACGAAACAAAGGACTCCACTGGAAATAAAGTCCCAGGCAGGGAGCAAGGTCAAGGTACTGCGGAAGCTGCCTGCCACTCCTGCCTTGGGTGTTGGCTGGCTCAGGTGAGGTAGGGGTGATCCTGGGCTGTGCGGAAAGCTGAGGAATCCAAGTCGTAGAACAGCTCCTCTCCGGCAGGTGTCGACTCTAAACCTATCCGACTGCAGTAGCATGCTAGGAAATCCTCGGCTCCAGCTCCTCCTACCCTGCCTGGGAGGGGGCTACAGTCTCGATCGGCCCCGCCCCCGCCTCCGGGGCCACCCGGCAGCTCGCTTCTTTAGGGATCCGCCGCTTTCACAAGTCCTTCCTGGTCCGGCCCAGTGCTCCTTTACCTTTCCCTTCCGCCGGAAGCGGCTCCGAACGCTCCCCCATTTTTGGATCCGCCTCCATTCTCACTTGACTGCCGAGGGATGGCTCAGAAAAACTTCTCAGGGAAGGTGACTTGAAATTTTTTCAAGTTGTAAAATACACATATTTACTAACGAATTAAAACACCAACAACAACACATACAGGGTCTTCTGGTAGCCCAGGCTGGTCTCTGACTCGTTTTGTAACTGAGGTGACTTTGAACTGCTGCCTCCAGAATGCTGGGATTATAGGTGTGCACTATGAAATGCTTGGGGATGGATGCGTGCTAGGCAAACGTCACCAATTGACCTACATCCCCAGCTCCCAACTTAGCTTTTAAATGTACTCACTGTGTGATAGTAAGTACATTCAAGCCAGGGGAGAGGCTGCAGGACAGGTCCCTAAGTGAAAAGGCAGGAGGGAGGGAGGAAAGAGAAGGCAGGGAAGTATTGGGGGAGGGGGCGGTAGCTCCAAGGCAAAGGGCATCCCTAGTATACTAGAGGCTCTAGGTTAATACCCAAAACAGTAAAACCAAGACAGAAAGTCATGAAAGACCCCTACCTAGGACCCCCTAGGAAAAGAAAAGCAAGGCCAGGCCGTTGCCTAATGAAAGAAACCCAGACCAGGTGTTTCACCCTCAAAACAGGATGTCTGTGATCACTATAGCAGTCATGGGACCCGGATAATAATTGCTGAAGCGTGCTGGGAACTTTCATATGACAATACTAGAAAACCTAGTCCTTGGCAACTACCCTGGCCCCCAATTGTGTCTGATCACTGTAGCAATCATAGGACCCGGATACTAATTGTTAAAGCATGCCGGGGTCTTTCATGTAGGAAACCTAGTCCTTGGCAACTACCCCTGCCCCCCCAGATGATCTCAGCCCATGCTTCAGTAGCCAATGAAATATCTGTTGCTATGCTGATACTTATGTAATCATTAAAACTCCATAAATAGTGTACTCCCTACAAGCCCGGGATGCTCTGCACCCGAGTTGCAGTAGCATCCGCAGGCGCCTGTGTACTCAATAAATCACCTCTTGCATTTGCAGCCAGTGGTCTGGCCCCGGTTCTTGGGCAGAGGGTTCGGTTCAGTGCCCGGCGCTTTGATGCCGAGGTTTTTCATTGGAGCTTCCACCGAGATTTCTGCCCCAGAACCACCAGTGCCACCGGGAGGTAAGCTAGCCGGCACCCTGTCTGCTTTGTTCCTTGTTATATGTATGTATGTTGATCTGTCTCCGAGCAGGTTGGCTACGTAGTCATTCAGTAACTAGGGCGGCTTGAGAAGGGGCTGACGAGCCCAGACTTCTCTCCTGCCACCCTGGCAGACGTGCCAGGGATCTGGAGAGCTCAATTGTTTGGAGCTCATGGGCCTGAAAAGGGAAAAACAGGACCACTACTCCTGTTGACCCGTCTGAGTATTTACTTTCGGTTCTCTGCCGAAAGCGCGCAGCGTGTCTCGTTGTGAGTTGCTTAATTGTGTTATTTGTCTTGTTCGTCTATTTGTCTTTGTATTTTGAGTTTTCTGATTCAAGCATGGGACAAACCATAACCACCCCTTTGAGCCTTACTTTAGATCACTGGAATGAAGTGCAGATTCGTGCCTCTAACCAGTATAAACTGCACATCTGAGTGGCCAACCTTCGATGTGGGCTGGCCACGGGATTGGACCTTTAACCTAGAAATTATCTTACAGGTTTAGGATCGGGTCTTTGACAAGGGACCCCATGGACACCTGGACCAGATAGCATACATTGTTATTTGGGACATGGGCAGCCCGGTTTGTGACTCTCTGACCTCCTCTGAAGGCAGTCTCGGAGAAAACTGTCAGCTCCTCCCCTACCCCCTTCTTCACCCTTGGTCCCTGTCCCAGCTCCAGATCATCATCTACTCCTAGATGATGCAGTTCTCATAGAAATATTACAAGGGGAAAACTACAAGTAACAAGTTTTGTAAAGTTAATTTAAATTTGCTAATAGGTTTTCATGTTCAGGATAAATAATTTTTCAACCCTGTTGATAAGGTGACTTTCACATTAAGACAGCTGTTGCATGCCAATTTTTTTATGTGTGTGTACAATTGGTTGAGTATCTAATATGCCCCAGGTTCAGTAACTAAACACTTCTTTTTATAAGTTGGTCCTGTGGCTGAGGACTTTGGCCAAGCCTAGCTAGTCACTGGCCCATCGTGTCCCTCTGTCTCTGTTCTTGCCCGCCTATACACATGGTGCAGGTCAGGGGTCTTCTCTTGCTGCCCTAAACACATGGCATGCTGGGCAAAGTCTCCCCGCCATGTGCCATGGTATAGAGCATGCTGCAGCAGGGTCTCCTATCCCTGAGCATGCAGTGAGGCAGCTGCTCTGTTCTCCAACTGCTCCTGCAGCCCTCACAGCTGAGCCTGCTCCGTCCTCACCTGCCTGCCTTTGAGGTGTGCAGGATGTGAGGATGGGGTCTCTCTCTCTTTCTGTCTCTCTGCCCCATGCACATGGCGTGCTGGCAAAGGAGCCATCTGCCAGCTTTTCCCTCCACCAGAGCTCCCTGCTCAAACACACAGGGCTGGAGCAGGTAAGCCATTTGGCCAGATCCGGTCTTTCCACAGAAACTAAATGGCTTTAAAGTTATAACTACAAGAAAAAAAATGTAAGCTGTTTACTATGATGTTTCATTTCTACAAATGCTAAATTTTAAAAATTAATCTCTCAAAAATTATGTATGCTTGTTTTGTTAAAAAGTTCTATCTGTATTTTCTGTCATAATCTAAGTTTTATTACAAGCATAGAGCTAAAACAAAAGTAGTGCAGGTCGCCACCGTTTTACAGTCAGTCACATGCCACGCTGGCCACATGGCTGGCTGGTAGCCATTTTACTAAAGTTAAAAGAGATACCTGATCCACCATCTTAACTAAAGGTGACCACATGGAAGTTATGAGGTACCATCCTATCAACAAGTTTTTATTCAGATTTAAAATGTTAATGCTTTTATACACAGGAATACTAAGTTTTATAATTTAACAGTCACCCAGATAATAATGGTTTTAAAGGCCTTAAATAAAAACATTAAGGGATTTCAGACAGTTTTTAAAATGTTTTCAATTTATAAGGTTATAAGATATTTATACTGTTAAAATGTTTAAAGCTAGACCTAACAATATATAGTTATAGTTTTATAAAGGTTAATAAAGTTTATACTTTTAACAGTTAAGCTTAAGGCAGACAAACCTCTAATACTTCAGAGACCTGAAGAACATGGCATTTAAAATGTTAATTTAAAAGTTTATAATATCAGACAGACTGCCAGATCCTAACAGTGACCCAAAGTCTCCAAAGAAGATTATGAGGCACCCTGGTCCCTACACCTGGATTGTGTTAACTCTAACCAGTGAGCAAGATGCCCAAAGGTGACACCTGCTGCTGCTAGGACCTGGCCCAGAATGTGGACAAAGCTGCTGGACACTGGAAAATTGATTGCACCCCTTTTGCCGAGACAAAACAAGGTCAGTCTTTTCCATGTCCCTCTTCCACAGAGAGAAAGAAAACTCACCTTACAGGCCTGGTAGAGATTGATGCTGTTCCTGATACTTGTGCCTCCAGTGCTAATAGAGGAGACTTGGGTATGGCTGTATATGGACTGGTACCTGGCACTTTTTAATAGATTCGAAGACTGTATAAAATGTATCCTTCTCGGATCTCTAAAAGTATTAATTGTTGTCAGCTTGAGCATTAGGCAGTCAAATCCACAAGACTATAGTCAGGTTGATAACTCGTTTTATTTATGTAAAAATCAAGCCTTAATATGTCTCAATAAGGATCAAAGGATGTAAATACTTGTTCAGTCATAAGCTCAAGGTTTTCAAGTTTATTTTGGTTGTCATCTAAGTATAAACATAAAGGGCTTTTCATCATGCCATAGATACCTCTGTCCAATTCATACTTGGCTCCCTGGACAGAAGACAAATGTACACTACTAGCCCAAATCTGTAGTTTCTGCTAGGACAAAATACAGATACCCAGATATCTGCTTTTTCTACAATGTAGATTTCAGTACCAATTGATAATGCTACTGTACCTATAACCTTTATGTCCTTTTATATAACAAAATTTATATAGGCTTCAGAGGATCAAAAGTCATACAGCTTGGATCCACTTCTCACAGGTCAAAGAGGACTCCAGATAAGTACAGCCAGTTATCCCACCTGTCTGTTCCTGAGAATGAGATTTTCTCTCCTGGTCATGGGATTCCTGACCTTCCTGATCACTAATACTATGGGTCTAAGGAGTTCCAATTAAATACATAAGTTTTAACTTCTGTTCGCAGTTTTAAACATGTCTTAAACAGGTTTCCACTTCTGGCAAACACATCTGAACATCAGTTGCTGACCACAGCCTGCTCCTAAAGACTGCGAGCCCTAGACTTGCTGTGGATGTGAACCAGTTCAGCTGATGTGGACACCCCCTGTCTCTTCAACACAGTCTGCCAATCAGCTGCTCCTGGATAGATACCCCATTGCCTAAATTCCCTTTTTGCTTTTGACTTGCATTTCAGCCTTCTTGGGTCCCCTAACTTCGTCCCAAAGTCAGCAAGAAGTAGCATGGAAAGGAATACATCGCCCTCTTTCCCCTGGTTGAGATGCAAAGTCAAAAGAAAAAAAATTCCCTTACATAGGGAACAGTATAATAAGAGGGGAGACATATGTGCCACTCTCAAAGAGGAATGTTGTTTTTATGCAGACAAGACTGGGGTAGTAACCAAAACTCTGGATAAACTCAAGGAGAGGCTCACTGTTCGTCAGAAAAAAATTTAAATCCCAACAATACTGGTATGAGGGTTGGTTTAACAAATCCCCCTGGTTCGCTACACTAGTCTCTACTCTTATGGGCCTCCTAACCTTTGGGCCCTACATTCACAAACAATAATTCAAGCCTTAGTCCTAACTCAACAATACCATGCCCTCAAACAGATGGAACCATAAG